TTTACAGTATGGTGTATTATGACAGTACTTTACAGTATGGTGTATTATGACAGTACTTTACAGTATGGTGTATTATGACAGTGCTGTACAGAATGGTGTATTATGACAGTACTTTACAGTATAGTGTGTAATGACAGTGCTGTACAATATGGTGTATTATGACAGTGCTTTACAGTATGGTGTATTATGACAGTGCTGTACAGAATGGTGTATTATGACAGTACTTTACAGTATAGTGTATTATGACAGTGCTGTACTGTATGGTGTATTATGACAGTACTTTACAGTATAGTGTATAATGACAGTGCTGTACAGAATGGTGTATTATGACAGTACTTTACAGTATAGTGTATAATGACAGTGCTGTACTGTATGGAGTGTAATGACAGTGTTGTACAGTATAATGACAGTGTTGTACTAAGTGTATAATGACTGTGCTGTACTGTATGGTGTATAACAGTACTGTATTGTTTGGTGTATAATAACAGTACTTTATTATCCATGTGGTCAACGTATGGGTAGTAGCATACTAATCTTGTACCTCACACAATTGTTGTATCGCGTTGACCTGTGTCGTAACGACGTGACCTGTGATTCTAACGATTTGATTCGATAACCGATGATCTCTCAATTAGGTCACGTCGTGACGGAACTACTTGTTCATTCATAACAAACTTGTGAATTCATTCATTCTATAACTTATATGCATTGTGGGAATGTAAACATTGCGAACGTTGCCGTATCGATGTTTAATTGAGAGTTGAACTGAGATATATCTGTCGAAAAACATAAACGTAATGTTTCTACCAGTGATGTTAGCCGAGTGAAGCAACTGCAAACCAAAGAAAGGGGTGCTACGGAGTAGTTTACTGTAGGAGGCTGTACGAGGCGATGACAACTGACGCATCGTGACGTCGGTTACCAAGGAGCAGATGAGAATAGCGTAGTGACGTCAATACAGTGTGACGTCATGCAAAAGTGAACTACAGAACAAAATTCTTCCGCAACCTCTTTATTAAACCGGTTTCGGTTTCAAACCATAATAATAAGAAAAATATGCTGTTTTGTCAATTTAATGCATGAAAGATGTGGGTAATAAATAAAATACCACACTCGGTCTCATTACATACGAATTATACAAAACTCATGACCTTCCTATGGTTTCTGACCTTGCTTTCGCTTGGTCAGATACCATTGGAAGGACGCTCATTTCGTATAATTCGTATGTAATGAGATCTCGTGTAGTATTCTCTATGTATTTTATTATATAAGTGTGTAATGTCAGTGCTGTACAGTACTGCGTATAATGACCGTACTGTACTGTAAGGTGTATAATGACAGTGCTGTACTGTAAGGTGTATAATGACAGTACTGTACTGTAAGGTGTATAATGTCAGTGTTGTACAGTATGGTGTATAATGACAGTACTGTACTGTAAGGTGTATAATGACAGTGTTGTACAGTATGGTGTATAATGACAGTACTGTACTGTACAGTGTATAATGACAGTACTGTACTGTAAGGTGTATAATGACAGTACTGTACTGTAAGGTGTATAATGACAGTGCTGTACAGTACGCTGTATAATGACAGTACTGTACAGTGTATGACAGTACTGTACTGTAAGGTGTATAATGACAATACCGTACTGTAAGGTGTATAATGATAGTACTGTACTGTACAGTGTATAATGACAATACTGTACTGTAAGGTGTATAATGACAGTATAGTACTGTAAGGTGTATAATAACAGTTCTGTACTGTAAGGTGTATAATGACAGTGCTGTACTGTAAGGTGTATAATGACAGTACTGTACTGTAAGGTGTATAATGACAGTGTTGTACTGTATTGTAAGGTGTATAATGACAGTACTGTACTGTAAGGTGTATAATGACAGTACTGTACTGTAAGGTGTATAATGACAGTACTGTACTGTAAGGTGTGTAATGACAGTACTGTACTGTAAGGTGTATAATGACAGTATTGTACTGTAAGTGTATAATGACAGTACTGTACTGTAAGGTGTATAATGACAGTACTGTACTGTAAGGTGTATAATGACAGTACTGTACTGTAAGGTGTATAATGACAGTACTGTACTGTAAGGTGTATAATGACAGTACTGTACTGTAAGGTGTATAATGACAGTACTGTACTGTAAGGTGTATAATGACAGTACTGTACTGTAAGGTGTATAATGACAGTACTGTACTGTAAGGTGTATAATGACAGTACTGTACTGTAAGGTGTATAATGACAGCAACTGTACTGTAAGGTGTATAATGACAGTACTGTACTGTAAGGTGTATAATGACAGTACTGTACTGTAAGGTGTATAATGACAGTACTGTACTGTAAGGTGTATAATGACAGTACTGTACTGTAAGGTGTATAATGACAGTACTGTACTGTAAGGTGTATAATGACAGCAACTGTACTGTAAGGTGTATAATGACAGTACTGTACTGTAAGGTGTATAATGACAGTACTGTACTGTAAGGTGTATAATGACAGTACTGTACTGTAAGGTGTATAATGACAGACTGTACTGTAAGGTGTATAATGTACTGTAAGGTGTATAATGACAGTGCTGTACTGTAAGGTGTATAATGACAGTACTGTACTGTAAGGTGTATAATGACAGTACTGTACTGTAAGGTGTATAATGACAGTACTGTACTGTAAGGTGTATAATGACAGTACTGTACTGTAAGGTGTATAATGACAGTACTGTACTGTACTGTACTGTAAGGTGTATAATGACAGTACTGTACTGTAAGGTGTATAATGACAGTACTGTACTGTAAGGTGTGTAATGACGGTACTGTACTGTAAGGTGTGCAATAACAGTACTGTACTGTAAGGTGTACAATAACAGTACTGTACTGTATGGTGTATAATGACAGTACGGTACTGTAAGGTGTATAATGACAGTATTGTATTGTATGGTGTACAATAACAATGCTGTACAGTATGGTGTACAATAACAGTACTGTACTGTATGGTGTATAATGACAGTGCCATAGTATGCAGGGTATAATAACAGTGCTGTACTGTATGGCTTATCAGTGCTGTATGGTGTATAATGACAGTACTGTACTGTATGGTGTATAATAACAATACTGTACTGTATGGTGTATAATGTCAGTGCTGTAGTGTACAGTGTATAATGACAGTACTGTACTGTACAATGTATAATGACAGTGCTGTAGTGTACAGTGTATAATGACAGTACTGTAGTATACAGTGTATAATGACACAGTACTGTACTGTACAGTGTATAATGACAGTACTGTACTGTATGGTGTATAATAACAGTACTGTACTGTATGGTGTATAATGTCAGTGCTCTACTGTACAGTGTATAATGACAGTGCTGTAGTGTATGGTGTATAATAACAGTACTGTACTGTATGGTGTATAATAGCAGTAATGTACTGTATGGTGTATAATAACAGTACTGTACTGTATGGTGTATAATGACAGTGCTGTAGTGTACAGTGTGTAATGACTACTGTACTCTAAGGTGTATAATGACAGTGCTGTAGTGTACAGTGTATAATGACCATACTGTACTGTACAATGTATAATGACAGTACTGTACTGTAAGGTGTATAATGACAGTGCTGTCGTGTACAGTGTATAATTACAGTACTGTACTGTATGATGTATAATGACAGTGCTGTCATGTACAGTGTATAATGACAGTGCTGTAATGTATGGTGTATAATGACAGTGCTGTCGTGTACAGTGTATAATGACAGTGCTGTCGTGTACAGTGTATAATGACAGTGCTGTACTGTACAGTGTATAATGACAGTGCTGTACTGTAAGGTGTAATTGTATGGTGTATAATGACAGCTGTACTGTGTATAATGACATACTGTACTGTGTATAATGACAGTGTGTATGTATAATGATAACACGTGTACTGTATAATGACACACTGTGTTGTACTGTATAATGATAACACTGTGTGTACTGTATAATGACAGTAATGTATAATGTAGTGTACATAATGATAACAATGTAGTAATGTATACACTGTGTAGTACTGTATAATGATAACACTGTGTGTACTGTATAATGATAACACTGTGTAGTACTGTATAATGATAACACAGTGTAGTACTGTATAATGATAACACTGTGTAGTACTGTATAATGATAACACTGTGTAGTACTGTATAATGATAACACTGTGTAGTACTGTATAATAACACAGTGCAGTACTGTATAATGATGTAGTACTGTATAATGATAACACAGTGTAGTACTGTATAATGATAGTACTGTATAATGATAACACTGTGTAGTACTGTATAATGATAACACTGTGTAGTACTGTATAATGATAACACTGTAGTAATAATGATAACACTGTGTAGTACTGTATAATGATAACACTGTGTGTAATGATAACACTGTGTAGTACTGTATAATGATAACACTGTGTAGTACTGTATAATGATAACACTGTGTAGTACTGTATAATGATAACACTGTGTAGTACTGTATAATGATAACACTGTGTAGTACTGTATAATGATAACACTGTGTAGTACTGTATAATGATAACACTGTGTAGTACTGTATAATGATAACACTGTGTAGTAGTGTATAATGATAACACTGTGTAGTACTGTATAATGATAACACTGTAGTACTGTATAATGATAACACTGTGTAGTACTGTATAATGATAACACTGTGTAGTACTGTATAATGATAACAGTACTGTATAATGATAACACTAGTACTGTATAATGATAACACTGTGTAGTACTGTATAATGATAACACTGTGTAGTACTGTATAATGATAACACTGTGTAGTACTGTGTTTTATTGATGTGTGAACTATGTCAATTAAATAGATCATCTAATGAAGCAGTGTGTCATGCATGCATGTGAAGCTATTGTAGAGTCCTCCTCCTCCTCCCCAAGTGAGGCGGCGACGGAGACGACTGCCCTGGAATATTGATTGTTCTGTGTTGCAGAGGCTGGAGTGTAGTTGTATGGAACTGGCCCTGGAAGGGGAGAGACTCTGCAAGGCGGGGGACTGCCACACAGGAGTGCAGTTCTTTGAGGCAGCCGTGCAAGCTGGCACCGACGATCTAAAGACCCTAAGCGCCATCTACAGCCAGCTGGGCAACGCGTACTTCTACCTACAGGAGTATGTCAAGGCCTTGGAGTACCACAAACATGACCTGAATCTGGCCAGGTGGGTGTGTTGTGTTATGCCCCTGCTGTAACGTCCATGTGAGATCCATGCTAGCGTGTGGACCTGATGGACATGTCCTTGTGTAGGTCAGCTGTGTCACATGGGGGTTGTCATGTAGGCAGGCCTGTCATCTGGCACCCTGTTAAGTCTTGTATCTGTGTCTGAGTGCAACCTCGTTGTCTGTAATGGTAACAGCCACCTGCTCAGTCACCTACTTCATGCTTACCAGATTTTCATAATCATTTAATTTTAATAATTTTCTGTTTACTTGACATCATTGAATATTCTGAGATTGAAAAGGTACTGTGATGAGAACAGAGCTTGGGCTGAAATAGTTACCAAGCAGCAGATTTGTCTTTCACTGGCGAAGACGAGTCTGATTTAAATGACCTATTGGTAATAGCCTCCGCCAAGCATGCTGTTCCACTGTGGTGTCTAGCTTATGTTAATAATAACAATGTGACCTTGGCTTGTACAGACTCACTAGCAGCTGGTCAGTAAAGTAGCCCGGTGATTCCCCATGCAATAAATAGGTGTGAATTGATGTGGTTACATTGTGTTACCGCTAAGCTGCCAGTGCTAAGACAGAAACACTACTCAGGCAGGAGCTAGTGCATGTGCCACAGGCATAATTTATCCCCTTAATGTAATTGGTTTGTGAAGAAGTGCTTGTGAGAGCAATCGAGTTTGCCAGTTGAAAAGGAATAGATTTAGTGGATGCTAGTGACACGGAGTTGACTGATGACAGCTGTAGTAGGAGCCTGTTAATGACAGCCCTTGTGTTCCACTGTGGGCTCAAGGTTACATACATTGTCCACAATCTCCTGCTTACCCAGTCTGTCTTGCGCTTTTCTAAATTGATAATAAAGTGAAGAGCTTGTCATAAACCTAGTCAGCGCTGAGAATTAAAGATGGAGGGTCCAAGATAGGCTGCAGCAGCATCTTCCGCTGTACTCTGTGTCTGGCGCCCAACATATCCCTGCTGAGAATATCTCTGCATCTTACTGTCTGCTTGCCCCGTGTACTCGGGGCTGAGGGATACCTGTTATGCCAGTGGGTATTAGTGAACGAACAGTGGAAATTGGTTAAAGCAGGAAATAGATCTCTGCTATATTCCTGTTCTCATAAGATAAACATTCAGTGCTCTGACTGTCAGTTTTGCAGTTTCAATTCAAACAAGGAACTCACAGTTTGTAACAAGTATATATTTATTGTAGTTTGACCATTACATGTCAACATCAGGGATTTACATGGAGTCCTGTATTTGAGGGTCCCTGGGACTGATACTCTTAATTTTCAGGGGTCCTGGACAACAAAATATTATTATTAATACTGTTATTGTATTGTGTATCATGATCATCGCATTGTTACAGTAATTAAATTGCAAATAATACTATAACCCAGCTAGAAGCAAACTCAGTGATAACTTATTGTTACTTGATTGGAATTTTTACAATAATGTATTTGGACTTTTTCTGAGTCCCTGTGGACGCGCTAATAAATTTTGTTGCGTCCATTGTCAATTTTTATGAGTATATGACGCAGGAATTTGCGTCCTGTATATCCCTGCGACGTGATGTTTTCACTATGAAAATACAGAGACTTTGGGAATCCTGAACATTGACCAGTCAAATTGGTCTTCACATTAATTAAAGCCTACCTGTGACACATTAAATAAGCTCTGGGTTAGAAAATTGATCTTCAGTAACCCATGCTTGTCGTAAGAGGCGACTAACGGGATCGGGTGGTCAGGCTCGCTGACTTGGTTGCCACATGTCATTGATTCCCAAGTGCGCAGATCGATGCTCAGGCTGTTGATCAGTGGATTGTCTGGTCCAGACTCGATTATTTACAGACCGCTGCCATCTAGCTGGAATATCCTGGTATCACTGTGAGACTACTGTTCTCCTGGTATCACTGTGTGATGGTGTGTTTCAGAGCTCTTGCTGACAGGATGGGGGAAGCCAAAGCCAGTGGGAACCTGGGAAATACTCTCAAAGTCCTAGGGAAGTTCGATGAGGCCATTGTGTGCTGTGTCCGACATCTGGATATATCCCGAGAAATAAGAGACAAGGTGAGGCCATCTCCAATGTTTGTCATTTTTGGTTTTCGGTATTGTGATGGTCATCTGTGTTCTGGCTTCGATGTAGTGGACCTCAGGATCAACAGCCGTACATTTACCTCAACTCCCTTACTTTTCGATCCTGATGATGATTCTAGCCAGAAGTGGAGCTCATTGTAAAATTTCGTCTACATCATGAGCATGGTTTTTGTGTCATTATCTAGAGTGACAAATCAACGAAAGGGGATCTAAATTTGTGCCTAAGGAGATGCCTGGTTACCCAAAGTTCTTTGAGTGGCATATAGAGGCTGGTATTATGAACAAGAATGTTTTTTTATGGATGAACTTCTTTATTGCGTTTCAGTATAGATGCTAACGCTGTCCTCACTTGCTTTATAATGGTGTTAGAATCTACACTGAAACGTCACATCCATTGCAGTGAAGAAGTCATCCATAAGAATAGTTCCTGTTCAATAAAGAAGCCATCCATAAAAAATAATTCCTCTTCCATTTACCCAAATGTCTTACTCATGAGATGCTATGTCCAGAATTTCACATATTGTTTTCTGTCAAACTTCAGATGGTATTTACTTTGATTTTTGACAAATGGGCAAGTTTTGTCAGTGTATTTGCTGGTGTGTCGACAGTATGTTTCTGCCCAAAGACAATGATATATCTTTTGTCATGTTCAGAAATGTATGTTCCATTATTCCATGATACATCAGAGATAAGATAAGATAAGATGAACTTTATTGTCCCGTAAGGGAAATTTGTTTTGCATTCAAAGAGCCAATACAAGCATATAACAACAAATAATTTAAAGTATATATACACAATGCCAAGCTAATCAGAATATAATGTTGAATTATAACATAATCAAAGTTCATGATATAATAATCACTCGAGCCTCATCATAGATTTCACTATTACAATTTTGAAGGAAGATTTAGAAGTTTTTTATGCTGTATGGGACAAATGAGTTTGAAGTTCTATTTGTTTTATAATATATGATTTTGAAACGGCGGCCAGGAGGCAGAAGTTCATAACATTCATTTAAAAAATGTGATGGATCCGACTGAATGGCCAGAGCTTTCTTCTTAACTTTTGACTCATAAAGGTAGAGGTTCGAAATTGAAGCCGCAAATTTTGCTTGATATGTTTACAATTTTGTCAAGTTTGTTTTTCTGTGTAAGAGGAAGATTGCCATGCCAGGCATGAAAGCAGAAAGTTAAAATACTAGTAATGAATGTTTGGTAGAATAATTTTAAGATATTAGTGTCTACATTAAATGATCGCAATTTTCGCAGAAATAAAGGCTCTGTTGTGCTTTCCTATGTACCCGATGTGAATTTGATTTCCATGAAAGTTTATTATCAATGATAGTACCCAGATATGTATACTCTTCTACTGTTTCTACTTCCTGTCCATCAATACAAACAGGTTTCAGTTTGTTTTTTCCGCTTCGGAAGTCAATTATCATTTCCTTTGTTTATTTTATGTTCAGGAAGAGGTAATTGTCTTTGCACCATGAAGTAAACGCATCAATATTTTTCCTATACTCTAACTCCGATTGACGAATAAACCCAACCAAAGCGGCATCATCAGCAAATTTGAAATTCAAACAGGTGCATAAATGAGATATACAGTCATTTGTATAGAGTGTGAAGGGGACAGGACACAGCCTTGAGGAGCACTGGTACTCACAAGATTAATGTCAGAAAGTGTTGAATTGATGACTATGATTGTACATATATCAACTGGGATCAACTGGTCTTTCATTCCGGGTGGCTTTGTTGATGTTTTGCAGTCACTGCTTGAAGTGGTGCCTTAGCCACTGAAGTCCAGTTCGGTATTTGTAAGGGTTTAAAAAAATTGTATGGGCAGATGGTGGAAATTTGTTACCATGACTGTAGTATAAGCGCAGATGGTGACTGGCAAAAACAAATTGATGTATCAGAAAATTACTGTGATACCTTGAAACTCAGTGATAATAAGGGCAAAGCTACCTTGGCAAAAAATATGAGTTTTTTCCTCACATTTCTGATAGGGGAGATAACCCATGCAGGTAACTTTTAGAGGACCACTAGGAAGAATGACAACACAAAACCTTTTATTCAAGCTAAACGTATGGATTTAGAAACAGGTTTCAGGAAAAAGGGCCATCAGGTGTCTGGTAGTCTAAAAATTATTAATGGAACGCAGTGGAAGCTGGTAAATAAGTAGTTAAAGGACAACAGAGCACTTTTCTTAATATTTTATATTTTTAGTTTTATTCCCAAGAGTATAAAATCCCCAATATGTACAAACATATTTACAGGAATAATGGTGTGTCCAATCATGACATTAAATGTCTGAAATATGACACTATAACAGGGTGTCCAAATATGACACTATAACAGGGTGTCCAAATATGACACTGTAACAGGGTGTCCAAATATGACACTATAACAGGGTGTCCAAATATGACACTATAACAGGGTGTCCAAATATGACACTATAACAGGGTGTCCAAATATGACACTATAACAGGGTGTCCAAATATGACACTATAACAGGGTGTCCAAATATGACACTATAACAGGGTGTCCAAATATGACACTATAACAGGGTGTCCAAATATGACACTATAACAGGGTGTCCAAATATGACACTATAACAGGGTGTCCAAATATGACACTATAACAGGGTGTCCAAATATGACACTATAACAGGGTGTCCAAATATGACACTAACAGGGTGTCCAAATATGACACTATAACAGGGTGTCCAAATATGACACTATAACAGGGTGTCCAAATATGACACTATAACAGGGTGTCCAAATATGACACTGTAACAGGGTGTCCAAATATGACACTATAACAGGGTGTCCAAATATGACACTATAACAGGGTGTCCAAATATGACACTGTAACAGGGTGTCCAAATATGACACTATAACAGGGTGTCCAAATATGACACTAACAGGGTGTCCAAATATGACACTATAACAGGGTGTCCAAATATGACACTGTAACAGGGTGTTCAAATATGACACTGTTCAATGGCATGTCGAAAAATATGAACTCTACAAAAGCGTGTCAAAATACAACACTACACAAAAAAGACACCAAAATGTGTGATAACTAATGTGTTCAGTCATTTCTTCAATAACTATGAAATTCCAAGTCTCTCAAATAATGTGTACAAATTAGACACAAAATATTCAAAAGTTACTTCAAATTCATTCAATTATATGAGAAAGACACAAAAGGAAACCGTCACCAAAGTGTGACTGCTCTCATACAAGTCAAGAACCGAAGTGAAGCAACCACATGCTAATATGCACGGGTTGCAGCAGAAATATGTCAATTTCAATGTGCGTTTGCTCGAACGTTTTAGAATGTCCATGAACAGGAGGTGTTTGGGTGAGTCCTTCTGTTCTATTAACATTGTTTAATATTTTTGGAATCATGGTCATTTTCCTTGACATTATCCAAGAACTCTGTATATTGCAGAATGTTGAAAGTCCTGTGTATACAGAACAGTGTCTGTTTGATGTAAATATAGGAAATACCACAGTTCAGAGGCAAGATTTGAATGTTCATTAGAGTGTATGTCATACAGAATCAATTATGGAAAATGTGTAACAATCACATTATTTTGGATGAATATCACTTTTTACATTAATGTCCATCTTACTCCACTATCACAAAAAACGTTTTCCTGTACATACTAATTAATGACTCAAGTATTGTTAAATTTCGACATCTGTTAAATAGTCCAGGTAAAATAACAACACAGAACATGTCCCAAAATAGTTGAAATTGTGTGCATCATCTCTACTTACTTAATTCAGATGTACTTATCAAGTACAGTATTTGATTGTATGATCACTTTCAATCTGTGTAGAAACAGTCTTTTAAACATTTGTCTTACGTGGTTGTCTGGTAGCCTAGTGGATAAAGCAATCGCTTGTCATGCTGAAGACCGGGTTCGATTCCCCACATGGGTACAATGTGTGAAGCCCATGATGTTGCTGGAATATTGCTAAAAGCAGCGTAAAACCATATTCACAGAGGCCCAGATAAGCTGCGTATCCGGGTAAAATACGCATAGAAAGTTTTCAATTACGCATTGAAAAATAATGGTTGCGTACCAATTACGCATTTAAACTGTTAGATACGCAAAGAGTTTAAAACAAATGCGTACGGAATATACTTATAAAAAGCGCTTGCGTAATGAAATAGACATCGATTGCTATCAATTTGTACTGTTAGTATAGGACAAGTGTTGTACTGTCAGTATAGGATGACTGATTTTTTTATGAAATCATTTCCCTTATATTTAAGTTGGTTTTGATTAGGTATGACATAAGGCAGAACATACCTGCTTAGTAAACTTACTCAATGACATAATACTTAGGTATGTAAAATGACTGAAATACGGACATATTTGAAAGCAGTGGGTAACGGAAAATGAAATACCCACTCAACATTCATAATACCCACTCCAAAAAAATACAGTGGGTACAGTACCCACATTAGCTAAATCTTATCTGGAGCTCTGTATTCACTCACACTCATTCATTTGACTTACAATTTACTACGGGTGGGTATTGCAGAGAATTTTCATATTGCGATATATTGCGATGCGGAAGCATATATTGCGATATGTATTGCAATATATTGCAAGAATTATTTTTTTAACAAAAACTATTTATAATCGAGTTAATGCTTGATTATAAAGCAAAAACACAACAAAATCACTATGATTGATTAACCTTTAATAAAAACTTTTAATCATGACAAATTAAAAATGTAAGTAACATTTGGCACTAATGAAACAGGGAAAAGAACAATTCAAAAACAGAAATATCCGAAGATTTCCGAGTGTTACAAAGTTTTCCGAATGCATGTCAAAATACCGGTTTTCAATCATCGTATCGCAATACGTATTGTTTTCATGTCTGAACCGGTAAATACCGGTAAACCGGTTATATTGCGCAGCCCTACAATTTACTGTTTACTTAC